TCTATCTCGAATCCCGAGTCCAACGAAGGTGAGGGGGCTTTTGGAACTGTGAGTTACCATGGATGGTGTTGGTCGACATGATAAACTCCGACAGTCTCTCACCCTGCTCATTCCATTCCATTCCGTGAGTACCGATGTGAAGTTCTTCAGCCGTTCTTCTCGGGCCAATCTTGGCGTTGAAGTCGCCGACGATGACCTTGAAGAAGGTATGGTCTTCCTTGTAGAACTTCTCCAATTCCATATAAAATGCTTCGTGTTCCTCCTCGTCGTAGCTCGATGTTGGTGCGTGCGTAGGCGACGAAGATTGTCAAAGCAGGAGTTGAACCACATCTTCTCAACCTCAAACGTCCGATTCGGGTCGTAAGCGGCTTCGATTACAATTTTCTAGACATGCCGTGATTCACATGCTGGTTACAACTTTGAGACACAATTTTTACTTTGAATACGTTTAATGATTAACAAGGGAAGGATGGTAGGTCGAAGTGGCCGTTCAAAATGAGATGTATACCACCTGATGCGTCTCTAGACGCTGATTCCAAATCTGCCTTCCAAATCTGCTAAACGACTCTCCGAACGGAGTTATGAAGCGTAATAGCTCAGTGGTGATGGTCCGGGGTGGCAGGTAAAAGCTCGTAGGATCGGTTCCTTTGCAAGTTTGGTTGCTTTGCTTTTGTCTCTAGAAGTGTTGCGGACAAAAGCAAAGCAACAAACTTGCAAAGGAACCGATCCTACGAGCTTTTACCTGCCACCCCGGACCATCACCACTGAGCTATTACGCTTCATAACTCCGTTCGGAGAGTCGTTTAGCAGATTTGGAAGGCAGATTTGGAATCAGCGTCTGGAGACGCATCAGGTGGTATACATCTTCATTTTAACGGCCACTTCGACCTACCATCCTTCCCTTGTCAGATTGATGAACACAAACTACTGTTACTCTGCATCTAAATGTAATTGTTTATGCAGGCCCGTTATCTGACTGTCAGGTAAACAAAAAACGACGGAAGCTATTCTGATTGTGATTTTTTTGCTACGCCCTAAAACAAGATAGCTATTTGAACAGAATTGACGAATTTCTAGTCAACGTCATGTGCTCTTTTTTGACAAGTAACATTTTCTCAAAAAAAAGTATCTTTCTATTATTACTATTAATGTTTTTCACAACCTTTACAAACTAGAATGTTGTGCACCTAATCAGTACATTGATTCTTTAACTACAATCAATAATCACAACCGGCGCACATGTTGTTTTCTCTTTTCAACGTCAACATGTTTAAACGAACCAGAAGAACGAGGTGGGAAAACTAGAAGATGCCCTAAAGCCTTAGATCATCTTGTGTTGACCTGCATGGACGGTTTCTCTGGAGTGACCAGCAAGTACTACAACAATACTCCATTCATGGAGCACTCTACTATCAAAGCAAATGGCGCAACGAATTTGGTGCCATATGTAATATAATATTACGCGCCCCTTTTCTAATCAAAGCCTGACATAGCCCTGCATAAAGCCTATTCAAATGACGCTTGTTTTTGCTCTCTTGATTCTTATGTCACATGGTGTTATACATGCGATCCATCGCATACACTATTAAAGTGGTAACTTCCGCTTTCTTTTAGAAATACCCTCAAATGTTGAATGTGACTATTGGAGAATTGGAAGTGTTCTCGGTCGTTGTCAATCCAGAGCCAATTTGCTTGTCTGATACTACCACATGGTTTTCAATCGTCATCGAGTTGCTAGCCATCTGCTTTGCTTTAGCATATATGCCACGACTAATACATATTTTTGACGACACATCTCTATTTCATAGGAATCTTGGGCGAGTTTCGCAAGTGAGTTGAAAAGTCCTAAGAGCTAAAGCTTTGGGTTTTTTAAACGTACAAATACTGGAACTCAGCCTTTATCGCTTTGATGCACTTATAAACGCGGATGATCACGCGGTGCTGATGAACACAGACGTCCCTTCAAAGTGCTCAAAAATGTTTTGCCGTAGTGCTGCAAAGTCGATGCTCTGGCTGAGCTACATGACTTTAACAGGATAGGTCACGGGAACCCAAAGACTTTCACATCTTCGAGAAACCTGTTCCCATCAAGCAATATCAGGGCCCGCCAAGAAGCGATGGGCGCTTCCACTGCGAACAGTGCTGTGGTTGCTGAGCAGGACCATTGCGCCCTTCCGCCCCATGCGCCGCCCCGCCCACTGGTTTTGTTGATGATCTGGATGGACTGATTGCTGTTGGCTTTTCATTTTGGATGATCTTTTCCCATCTAGCGGCTGTATCTTCCATCTTGCCCATGTTATGCCTTATCAATCGAAACACTATGCTTGTTGGCATGATGGCAGCTATCGGGGGTTAACACGTCCGAACAACCTCAGTCTTTACCGTCGCTCATCCATGATCGAAAATGAAAGGGCAATCAAAGGGGCACTATTTTGCTTATTTTTGACGGATTTCTTTGCTTTTTTCGCCACTGATGTACTATTGAGGACCCCCTCGTCCCATGGATGTTTTGCCAAACCTACATTAACCAGCGTAACCGCTTGGCCTTTAATATCTGAAAATACGTTTGCGTACGTCAGCGCGAAAAGCAATCTAATGCAGATATAACACTCCTGAATCTAATTCCCACTCAAGGAGTTCTGGCTGCCTGCACTCTAGCTCTAAAACGGTGTCATTCCGGTAAAAATAGCAGCTTTATAACGTAAAGCGCACTGGGTGCCAAACCGCAACGTGTACTTGCCTCAAGACGCGTGCGAGTTCAGGGGCTATGCCGTCTTTGCAGAGCTCTGTCTTTATCAATCTGCCCCTCTTTCAAACGCATCCATTTATTGTGCGGCGATGGCGCAAAAAGAGCATCTGCGCCTGTGCCAGACCGACCCTGCATATCGCGCTTAGGGGCGTTTCTAACCGCCCGTGAGCAAAAGTGTTTAAGGCAAATAATTCACCAAGTTAATTCTTCAACAACAATTTAAATGGGGTTTTCAATTCGTGCCCTCGCTCACATACTTTCAATATGGAGAATTATTGCTCGCTAGCAAATCAGTGAGACATGACCGCCTGATGAGGTTGACGCAAAATCGTAACTCCTGATGCGGCTGCGCCGATGCACTGTGTCAACCTCATTTGAATCATCTGGCCCTGTTTCGCTTTCCGCGCCATCTCATAAACGGTAGTAAAACTAAAGTCATAGAACCATAACCCTGATACGGAGCGTCTGTTGGTTTGGTATATAGGTGGAGTTGACAGTAGCTGGCAATTGCCACCTAAGTTGTTTGGTCAGCCCCCAGGTAAGCTCGCTCTCATGCGCGCGAACGGCTTCAGGCGGCGAGCAGGACTGCGTGATTTTGGAGAGTTCCGGTTGTGGTTGGGGGTATGGTGAACTCATCGTGCGAGGCATTACACCCGTCTCACGTTCGTACATCTCACGTTGACGCTAAACATGGGTACACAGCAGTGTGTAACTGCGCGCTCCAGTGCCAAAGTGGATTACAGTAGCGGCCACTCATCGGACTGGTAAAATCGGCTTGTCTACTGCAGCCCTTCGATAGACGCTGCAGTTAGCCTTCATGACGCAGAGCTACGGATAGCTAATAAATAAGCCACACTATTCTCGTCAACTCTCATCCGGTCCGAGTAAGTCATCGAAAGAGGCGTCCAAACCAAGGAACAAACTAAAAACTCAAAACTGTTTTGGTCACACCTACATAGATAGTTCTGACTCTATAGACTGGGGAAGGCGCATGCTAAGGATTGGAGGTACGCGAATTTCCAGTCTTGAGTGTGCAAATGACGTCACGCTATTGGCTCCATCGCGTTCTACGCTCGAAGAAATGCTGCAACTTCTGATGAGCGCATCTGCTAAAGTCGGCCCCTGTTCTTAACCTTAGAAATTCAGCCGTTATCAACTACAGCCAAACATCCATTCATATACAGATCCCAATCAGCTTTCAAGGAAAGACTCCCAACTTCGTTGATCACACTCTTTACCTTGACTTTCGTCTCTTAACCGAGCAGCTAAAATTGCACCCCCTTAACCGAGCAGCTGAAATTGCACACACGAATTTCAGTCCGGCTCGAATGCTTTTAAAAAGCTCGATATGTCTTTTGCAACCGGACCTTTCCTCTCTCACCCAGGTAACAAGCATTTGAGTCCCGTGTTCGAGTCATCAGTGCTTTATGGAGCGGAGACCTGGTCGCTGCGAAAGTCGGACATGACAAAGTTGGCCGTAACACAAAGGAAGATGGAAAGAAAAATGCTAAGGTTGACAGTGCTGGATCGGTGGAGTAATGAAAGAATAAGATCACTTACGAAGCTCAGAGACTGGACAAAGGAAGCGAGTAAGAAGAAAATACTATGGGCCAAAAAGATACGTGAAATGGACGAAAACGAATGGGCCCGCAAGATAACGACATGGATTCCATACGATTACGTGAAGTAAAGAAGAGGACATCCTTACACTCGATGGCGCGACGATCTGACGAAGCAGATTGGGCAGAACTGGTGGAGTATGACAGATGAAGAATACAGACAAGCCATGATACGGCATTCGAATATGAATTGATTCTGTGATAAAACTATGAAACTTATGAAGCCACACTGATCGCTTTTCGTACTTTTCTCCATCCGAGCAGGCTACAGCGAAAACTCTAACGAATGTTAAGTCATATTCGATTTGCAGGCACTATTATTCAGCTATTATCCGAGCGTGGGTGCACGTGCCGTGCTTTGTCTCTATGAATTTGACGTTTGGACTCATAAAGGTATAATTTCATAATCGCACTATTGCGTTCCAAAATATTAGGCATGCCTGCAATAATTGGAGACGGCTTTTCTCAGATTGCAACTCTCACATACGCTTAAGGATAAGCTACCAGCTAACCACTGGCTCACAAAATTTCTCTTTTCTGCTTTTCACTCCTGGCTTTCGAGATCAATCGTCTTACATATTTGGAAATAAATAATTGAAACACATACAGATGGTCTCTTATTCTCTCTTATCATGGTATCGGCTTGTTTCGTTCGTTCATGGAGTATGAGTGTAGTGATCTTATACCTACCATCAGTACTAATTGAGCGAGCTTTCGCATCGAAATATATCAGTGACTATGAAAAAGTCTCCAGACCATGGATATACAGAGTGATCATTCCCTCTAATTACATTGCAGCAATTCTTATGGTTTTGCCGAGCATGCTTGGTGAGTAGCTCTGATCCACTAATTTCAATTTCTTGTGATGTTGGAAAATTGAAGTGTGTTAGTGTTTACGTGTGTGCATTTTTAGGCAACTTTCTAGGATTCTGATGGATAAATAGGTTACCGCATTCTTTTTTCACACGGCAACCTTGAGTGATTAGCCAACCTGTATCGCAATGCTTTAGCTACGGCAAGTCTGTTCCATAAATTTAGGCTTCTCGAACGGCGTCGCTACAACTATATCGATCGGCACATTCTTTGTTATTTATAGTATGGCGTATGTAACCCTTTTTCGCCGAGATTCCGTAAAGTTGAGAGATATCAACAGCGGTGCTCGTCAGAAAGCCAACACCTATAGTCTGAGCACGAAGTTTCAATTAAGAGAAAACCTCAAAGTGATGAAGGTATTCTTACGCATTCTCTACTACTGGCTGATATAATATTTATTGTAAACGGCATCAAATGTAACAAGCACAATGCTGTTTGTGGTTGGCGAATGTATCTTATCAGTTCTGCTGAGCAGGTTATCGCAGGCATCACAAAAAGTAGCTGTGTATGTAGAATGTCAGCTAAAGTACTAGATCAAGCATTACTACTGGATACCTTAGTCGCATGACTTAATAATCAACAGGACCTCGAATGTGAATGAAGCTTACCGTATGATGGCGATGTGGCGCGTGGAGCGAAGCTTGTATTTATAATAACTCTTCGACTGCCGGTCTTGGTCTTCAGATAGTTTAGCAGATGACTTGCATTTTTGCGCTATAGATATTGAGTGGGTGAAGGAATAGGAACGAGGAACGCTGAGGGAGAGAGGGTCTAGGATATGACTCCAGACAACAATCTAGCTACACGTTTTTTTGCGAAAGGACGGTCTCAGAAGGTAACTAACATCTGTGGGGGTAGACATACGGAAACAGCCTATATGCCCGTTGGGAGGTCATTCCTCAGAACAGTGAAGAACCTGCAAGGCCACAAAACCTGCACGAGGCTGGAGAAGGCTGCCATCGCCAAGGCGAAGAACATGGAAATGGACGCCTTATAGAGAAGTTGGAAGCAGAAACGTCAGAAGGTTTGTCTTCAGTTTCGCATAGCAATAATGTTTCAGCGCAGAATGCTGGGATCTGTGGCAACAAACTTTCGCCTAGGCGGACTTTTTTTTTTGTGGTGTGTTTTATTTTTTTCTTTATTACGAACCCGCACCTCTCGCCTTCTGGGCAAGTGGCTAAAGGCTGAAGCTGAAGCTAGTGGCTAAAGCTTATAAGTTATACTGACAGACAGAGAGTGCTGACAAGCTATGGTAAGTATACCATGAAAAGCTGAGTTGGGACGAAATGGTGCCCCGGTAGCGTAAATGGTATGCACTTGCCCGAAAGGCGAGGAAAGAGATGGGTCTAGGTCTGGCCTGCGCGGCGCAGAGGAAGTTGTTGTCACTATCGCAGCACTTTTTGTGAAATAAACAGATTGCTCTTCATCAGTCGTTACCTTGTTCATCACCTGAAGCTGTTGTTCATCCCCGCAGCGCTGCAAACGATGTAACGGAGGTGGTGACAGTCATTTCTGGTTCCTCATTGGCCCTCACCACCTGTTGCAAGTTTTTGTTTCCATCTTCCAAAATGGTTACAGTCCTGCTCACCTGAAGTGGCACTAAAAAGTTTTCGGTCCAATGCTTTTCCGTCCAATCCTTTTTCCTACTGTATCAGATTGATTCATATTTTTGATTCTTCTTTGAAGGCAAGCGTTTTTCATGTAATCAGCATATCACTAATGAATATGAAGAGCGAAAAAATCATTTCCCTCAGAATTCCCGAGTGTGACTAAATTACAGGTAACTTTCAAATCATTGTGAAATATTTATATAGTCTATCAGAACATTCGGCTCATCAGACACATAATATTAAACAGATTCAATACTTTGTCGATAACCTTCCAGAGTCGCTGGAACGTTTACGGGACCTAACATTTGATCACTCAATGAGCTCGCTGTTCAATATGGAAGCTGTTCTCCTGTTCGTGTTTCTCGTCCGTATTCCTGACGCCTTTTTCCTAGCAAGAGTTTCTTCATCCTTTCGCATAGTGTTTCGCTCACGTCCAAGACATGTGTCTTAATTGATCCCTTTGTAAAAAACACGACCTGCTGTCGAGGCTACACCCTCGCAGCAGAGCTGCGAGGGCTAAGGTCGCTCCATTGCTAGACGACGAAGTTAGTAGCGTATACTTCCATACGTACGAATCCTTCTAGGATATTCGTGGCTGCGCCCGCATTCATTCCTTCTCAAGTTCTGTGCGGTGGTCCCACTTCTTTTAACGGCTACGTAACCAAACCTCCGCCTTATTTCTATTATGGCAATTAAAACTTTGGATCGAAATGTCACCGAAATCAAAAATCGAAATGTCAGGAGCCACACATGCCTATTGCGCCGTTGCTAAGCTCTGCTAGGATGTTCGGGTATGTGTGAGCTCATTCCATTCCCTTTCACCTCGCATTCGGACAACTTTACGGGGCTCGAGAAGTGGTGAATGCCGCTACGTACACAGCTAGACTCTAGAAGGAATTGCGTATCCGCTTGGATGGTAACCGCGCGGTAATAAATTATTTTTCTAACAAAAAAAACCGATTCAAATTACCACAGCTCTACCGTGCAGAGGGAGCTTCGACAATATGGCATGCTTTGAACGGAGGGATCAATGCGCACGCATGTCCAGTGCGCCATTTATACACTGAAGGAAAAGTTTTGGAAACTTTTGCTAGAAAAAAGTCAGAAATATATGAAAGAGACTCGTCAAATTCGAATAAAACAGGGAAGGTTGTCCCGTAGAGAACTTATCATGTGATCTCGCGCTTAGGTCCCGTTAACATTCCAGTGACTCTGAAAGACTCGACCGACCGAGTGTTGAATCTGCTTTATGTTATATGTTATGCGGTCAACTGTTCTACTAGATTATAGGTATTTTACAAAACTTTGAAAATTAGTTGCAAAATAGTCATCGTCGGAAATCCAAAGGAGAATTATTTTGCCCTTTTAGACTTTCTCCTATTCAATGTGCTAATTAGAATGTGCCTCGATGAAGTGGGGGAGGAAGGCAGTCGCCGCCGCGGCGCGTGCGGCAGCAGGAAATTCGTGAGCCAGGGGGAATGTATCCAATTCAGGTGGTCGGGGGTGAGGGCAGTCACTTAACATGCGTGAGAAGCTGGAATGTTCGAGTTTACACCACTTCGCTAAGTCGCGACGACGACCGCCCTTCTCCTCGATTCACTTTGCCCCGCTGATTATATGCTGATTTTGAAAAGAAAGGCTTTTCTTAGAAATATCTTGAAATGTGAACTAATTTTATCCAGCGGGGAAAAAAATTAAGTTAGGGGAAGCATTTGGCGGAATACTTTGGAGCGCCACTTTACACCACTTGTTGGAGCCGACGCTCCACTTCTTTCGAGGCTGTTCAATGAATTTTGTGGCCCGTTCGGTCTAACTCCTCTCATCAACTTTCATTTCAGGGTGTCCCAAAATTACTTGCGCCAAATTTCAAAAATTTATTAGAAAAGGTATATCGATTATTTTCATTTCGCGCGCTACTAATTAGTTGTGCAGGTAGGTTCTTGTGAACTGCATCGTTATTGGGGTAAAACTGCCAGTATCTCTGAGATGGCGATTCAAGGTGACCTGCGATCATTCGCGTGCACGAGGAAGAATCTGCATCGTAGGACATGTTAAAATTTTTTGATGTTCTCGTGAGCACAGTCGAGATGGCCAGCGAATGGCCATGCAGGAGAATAAGAACACTCATACATGAGCTTGGACAAGGAATGGTAAGCGTTTCCACGGATAGAATCATCGAAATGTTTGGTTAGCAATCCACGGTGCTCCATCAGAAGGATGGCGAGGCCGCTGAATTTATCGAAGTCATCGATGGGGCGCATCATCAAGGAGAAGCAGCACTACCAACTCTATCACATGCAGAAGTGCCACTTCATTCTTCTCAGCAACAAACAGCAGAGAGGCGAAAAGTTGGAAGGTTACTAGCGCGCTTCACTGGCGATACGATACGCGACTCTAGACTGTTTTTCTGACGAGAAAATATTCGCTGTGGAGCCAGTGTTGGATCCCAAAGCGATCACATTCTAGTTACAAGTATCGGGGGTACAATCTCACGAGGAAGATTGTTGAAGAACGGCTAACTCGACATCAGTAATGAATTGGGTGTGAGTGATGGCTATTTGTGAAAAGCTGTGTTGCTAGTTTGACAGTCGGCCTATGGGGCCAATCTCCTTCGAGGCAGGTGCAAGATGCAAACCGCCTCCTTCGCGGGAATGGCCTTCTTGCTCCCCTAATCTTAATCACTGAACTCTCAGTCTGGTCCGTGATTAAGAGCAAGGCATGTCGAGCTCGTCGTATGAATCTGCAACCATTGCAAGCAGCATCAAAGGAAGCCTGGGAAGAATTGGATAAGGAACACCTGCGTGCAACGTGCGAATGGTGCAAGAAGAGACTCCGGGCCTGTAATTCGTGCAGGTGGAGGACATTTTGAAATCTGGTTGTTGCATGTTGTAGTGTATGATGTTAGTATAATTATGTTTATATTCAATTACCATTCTGTGTCCAACAGTTCAAAAGACATTGCAATACATAGTCGCAAGTAATGTTGGGACACCATGTACTTTCTGGCATACGTCTAAAATGTTACCTTCCCAACCCCTTTACAATACCTTCAAATCAGCGCCTACGACTGCTGCTATGAACTGACAGACAGAAGAACGTACACGCCCACAGCCTGAGATATGTAGTGCACTAATTGTAGTAGGGTGCCTCTAAAATAATGTTGAAGAAAAAAGATTTAAGGTTGGTGATTTTTAACTCTTGTTTTCAAATTTCTTGAATCATATTTTGTTATCACACATTTTGAGATATTAATGGAACTCTCGATATTGTGGGCGATATTGGCCGTGTTTGGGAGCCTGTCATTCACGCTAGCGACCAATACATTTGTAAATCAAGCGCAATGGAGTCAACTGGGCTACGCGTCGCTCAACATTGGTTTCGCAGTGTATGTGAAAGATCAAAATATTCTCGCTGCTTTCTTTCCATGGTTTATAATGAAATGAAACGTTAAGATCGCTCAGTATTGTTATTTGGGTATTCACGGTTGCTGTTGGTGGATTTCGTGTGAGACTTCTACTACCATGGAACGCAAAAATCGGAACAGTTAATGGAAACCGGTCAATAAGAGAACATCGTGGTGCTTCGAATGCTTACTTCGACTACCTGACCACAGCATGGGAGAAATAGGTAAATCAGGTAGTACCATTAGGTGATATAAAAATTAATACATAAACAAGCTCATTGTACAAAATGCTCTACCTCACGTCAATGAATGAACGCTTCTAATGACCACATGGGAAAAAGTAGCTACCGAAGTCGTAGAAAATGCTAGGAAAGTGTGT